TACTTGGGTGTACACATTGGTCCAGGACACAAGAAGCCAGTGCAGGAAAGAATCAAAACAATTTCTTCTCTTCCTGTACTGACTTCACACAAGGCCTTACGCCAGTTCCTAGGATTAATGAATTTTTCCAGATAATTCATTGAAGGGTTCGCTGAAAAAGCCAAACCTTTATATGATCTCTTGAAAAATAGTGAATCTTCATTTGGACCATGGACAGATGAACATCAGAATGCATTTGAGGTACTTAAAAGAGACTTACAGGTTGCACCTGCTTTAGCGACAATACATCCAACTGCATCTTTTCCAATTCAAGTACATACCTCAGAGACGGCTGTCTCCGCAGTACTATTACAATTGCAGCAAGAGATATGGAGAATAGTGGGATATTTTTCTAAAATTCTTTCCCCAGTGGAAAGAGGGCTAGAAATTTGTGCCAGACATTTGGTAGGAGTACATTTTGCGGTAATGGCAACTGAACACATAGTGGGATTCAAGGACATCATTCTGCAAACACCACACACACGTTTGAAATTACTTCTTGAAAAAGGAATTCCAGGTGTGTCACATCAGAGATTTTCACGATGGTTAATAGCTCTATCACCAAAGCAAATTAAGGTAGAACATAAGGCAAAGTATGTACTTCCACAACTAATGCAATATGAGGGTAAACCCCATAAATGTTTAGCAGAAGTTGAAGAGAATTTTCTTTCTCTTTTCAGAAAGGAAGCAAGTGAATCTGATGAACCTGTGTTTGTTGACGGGTCCAGATTCTGTTCAGATGGGAAGTACTATACAGGTTATGCTATATGGTATCCAAAACGAGGATATTCAGTAGAGCATAAATTGCCAGGTCATTTGTCAGCACAGAGAGCAGAGCTAGAAGCATTAAAAACAGTACTAACACTTGAGGAAAAAGAAGGGCGTCCCCTAGTGATATATAGTGATAGTTCATATGTGGTTAGATCACTTACAGAACATTTAGCTATATGGAAAAGAAGAGTGTTCGTAGATGCCTCAAATAAAGTGTTAGCACACAAAGAGACACTAGAGACCATATTTGGAATTGCGTCTCAAGAGCCATGTTTACATGCTATAGTTAAAGTTCCTGCCCATCAAAAAGGTAAAGATTTACTTAGTGAAGAAAATGAAATAGCTGATAAATCTGCAAAAAGAGCAGCTTTAACTGGTGAAAATACATTGCAGACAGAGCCTATGTCAGTAGCAGTGGTTAGAAAGACTAACACACAGCCTCCATCTTTTGCAAAAGAACAGGCAAAGGATTCGTCCCTTGCGGCTTCTCGGGTTGATCCAAAACCTCCATTTGTTCATGAGAACGGGGTTTTGTGTCATGACCAAAACGGAGAACTGTGTCCGGTCATGCCAGAACATCTAAAAGTGTTATTTACTCAATATAATCATGAAAGTTTATGTCACATTGGACAGCAGAAATTGTTAGAGGTACTCAGAGATAAGTTTTATTGGGATAACATGGAAAAGACTGTACAATAGGTAGTGCAATCATGTTTGATATGTGCACAAATAAATCCCAGACCTAAAGGACAAAAACCGCCTATACAACGTATAGCACCTGCAAATGGTCCTTGGACTACTTTACAAATTGATTTTATTGGGCCATTACCAACAGGTAAGAATGGATTAAAATATGCGTTAGTAGTTGTGGATGTATTCTCTAAATGGTTAGAAGTAATTCCTCTGACTAAAGATGATTCACAAAAAACGGCTGAAGCATTATGGACACACATTTTCTCAAGATGGGGATTTCCTAGACTTCTAGAGTCAGACAGAGGTACCCATTTCACAGGGAAAATCATGCAAGCACTGTGTGCTATTCTAGGCATAGAGCAGAGATTTCATGTTCCATATCATCCACAATCTGCTGGGATTGTGGAACGTATGAATCGAACATTGAAATCTAGACTTTCAAAAATGTTACTTGAGAAAGGCAACACATGGGTACAGGCACTTCCTGCTGTACTTATGGGTATTAGAGGCACTATGTATTTAGCTACACAATACACTCCATTTGAATTGATGACAGGTAGGAA